GTGTAGTTTTACGGATTTTGTATTGTCGCTGAAAATTATTATAAAATAAAGGTTTTAATTCCTACACGTTTTTTAATATCACATTTATATTTTGTTTTCCATGTGGCACAATTCGATTTATGGGATATACATTACAGTTGTGATCGTCTTTTCCGTCATAATATTCAGTGTTTCTTTAGGTACTATTTTTTTTATAACCATGATGGTTCTCTGGACTTTCGGTCCGACTACATCCATCATAGGTCTGGGATCAGCCTTTGTATATGGACTATTTTGGTACAGAAATTATATCCTTCTCCACTAGTGGAATCGAATCTAGGACCTTGAGGATGACTTTGTCACCTCTCAACCACTGGACCACCAACTGTTGGATTCTTTAGGTATTATTTATATGAACAGTAATTTCAGTTTTTTTATAAATAGTTTATTTGTAATCTTATAATGACATAATTTATAAAAGAGGAGAGAATAAAAGAAATTCTAATCTCTAATATCTTAAACGCTTAATTTCCGATTCCATTCTAGGATCTAATCTTCCTGAACAATTTTCTTTCGGTATCGCCGCATCCTAATCGTTTCTTGATTGTACAAGTGAAGTACCCTCCGTCTTTCCACCCTTAAAACGTCATGGAGTTTAATTGATACTACTTTTTGATGTAACTGCATGCGAAATACACGTGCGTAAATGTTTATTTCTATTTTCTACTGATAAAATTGTATGTTCTTTCTTATAATCGCTTATTAGTATTGATACTTTTCGAATATAGTTCATTAAATAAGATAGTAATAGAATTGTATTAATTTATATAAAAAAATTAGTTCTATTTATGGATTGACATTCCCAATATATATAATTAAAATTAACTTTAAATATTTAAATTACTTTATATAAAATAATAAAAATTAGTATGAATAAACCAAACTAATATTTTATTTTTTAATAAACCAAACCAAATTATTTATGCCCGTGCCACTGCTAAAAAGCGAAATTAATTACTTTTTTTTGTTAAATGAAATTAATTACTTCGTGAAGTAATTGGCTTAATTCGAACAAATGCATACATATTAATAGTAATTTTGAACACGCACGATGCCGATTCAGCAAAAACAAAGGCAGTAGGCTCATTATACTGATTAAAACGTCTCTATTTTTCTAATCTTTTAGAAATTAGAAGTAAATTTCCCATAAGTGAAACGTGTACGTATGAATGGTGCACCAGAACTTTGGACTATAAAAAATGATGAATACATCGGCTAGATTCATATGATACAATCAAATGCTATGAAACACAACTACACTTGCACCTCGAAAGACAATGCTTAAACTCGGAAAGTGATAGCTTGGCCACGTCAGAGATAGCGATTACGATTGCGATTGCGATTGCGATTGCGATTGTGATTGTGATTGGTTGTAATTAGAAAGGTGGAGACGGAGATGGATAGAGATGGAGGAGGAGAGTGAATAAAAAAGGGTATATCGAGAAGTTGATCGGTCACAAGAGAAGAGGTAAGGAACGCCACACAAATCCTAAATTCTAAACCTCAATGAAGATTTTACCCTAAAATTTAAGTAAAATAAAAATTTCGTATCTTTAGTGATTTTTTTTTGTAACGAATACAAAAATCTTAATTTTTCAATTCTTCGCTATCTATCTATTGAAACTTATTATACAAATACGTTTACATATATCATAATTTGTTAATAAATGTAATTAATCTTTTTTTTTGTATTAAATTTAATGTAATTAATCTTCATATAATTATATTTTATTTCTTAGTGTATATATACTTATACTTATGTATGTTTTAAACCAAACCCAAAATAATATTGCTGTTTTTATATAACATGGGATTCTGTATTATTCCACGTGGGACCAACTGCATGGGGCCATTTTCAGCCGTCCAAACTTTTTTCTTCTGCTTTTCTCTGCCCCACCTTTACAGAAGGCGAGTACGTGCATCTACACGGCTCACCCAAAATTATTCGATTCAAAAATTAGGTATCCCATTTATAACGAGATTATGATCGGAGTCCTTAATTGAAATGCTTGTTTATAGTTAGAGTTATCGGTTGAATTTTTGTATTTAGATATCCAATTCTCGATTCAAATATTTGAATTAATCTACGATATTCAATCCTAATAGAATTGAAAATGAATATGAATATCGGGTATCATACATACTCCAATTACGAATTCGAATATTCATAAAACTAGATAAGTGACTAGAAAGGTTCTAAACATCACGCAATTTCTTAACATTAATCCTTAAAAACATAAATTTTGGTGAGCTAATTAACCATTTAGAGTTGAAATTTTGGCCAATACATTTATTAGTATGATTATATATATATATATATATATAATGATTTTGGATGTGAATTACATAAAGTTATACTTAATTTTTGAAACCTTTTTTTCCCTTCTTTTTCCACCAACTTAATCACTCTCATGAATTGATGAAGTCTATGTATATCAACGTCACGTATATGAATGAAGCTTTTTTTACGGACCACATTAGAGATATAGTTCGATGGTCCGTTGTGTTTTTTCCAAAGTAATTAACCATATCACAATTTGGTTGACCAAAATCAAAATAAAATCGTAACCAAGAGAAAATTCGCATCTCCACCTAAAGAAATATTACATAACAAAGTCTGTTTCACCTCCTTTGAGTTCCAGAATCTACCTAGATATATATGATATTTATCAAATGAAGAAATCATTTAACTAGAAATATATTATTGATAATAATTTTTATGAAAAAATATAAAAAAAAAATTATGAAGAATTTTTTTATATATGTATGTATATATTATTTCTAAGATGTTCCATTCTAGTGTGAGTCATATGTAACCATATTTTTTTCTTTACAATAATACTTAAACCTTGCAGGGGTAGTTTAATCGAGTTTTATATTCGAATTTATGTCTATCTATTAGGATTATTTAGCCGCGTTGTACAAAACTTAATCGTTGATTTTGCATAGTTAATACATATTAACTTTCAACAAAAAAAAACATTTCAATAATTCATACGAATAATTTTTAAATAACAATTCGGGAGGTTTTATCACCGCGCCCGAAGGTTTGTGGTTGTATTTTCACCGTTACCAAAGAAAAAAAGTTTTAATAAAGAAGGCCACCTTTTTATGTAAATAACTTTGCATAGCAGTAGACACGTATATGTATCAATTTTTTTTTTTGTAAAGATGCATCTATTTATATAATGGATATTCCATATAATTCCATGTTTAGATTCAAATTAGTTTAAACCTACAATATTAATTTGTAATATATATATATATATATATATATATA